ATGTTGGGTTCATATTGTGAAGTGGACTAATTATACCATATAGAGGAGAATGTTACCATATGAGCAAATATCTAGGAATCCATCATGCAATACTTGTGAGCTATTTATACTATGGTATGCTTCTTTACGTAATGCGATTGAACATGCCTTTGGAGTTCTAAAGAAACGTTTTCCAACTATCCAAAGCTCGACTGAACCTCATTATTAGATTGAAACTGTTAATATTATTATATTTATTTGTTGTGTTTTGCATAATTATTTACGGGGAGATGATCAAACTGATGAACTTCTTCTAGAAGTTGATGAAGAACTCCGAAATATTTCTCCAGATGAACGAAGTACATGTAACTTTAGGGATAGTATTGGGAAAATGAGAAAAGGCGAAAGCAATTAGAGATGCAATAACAGCTGATATGTGGGTTGATTATATTTTGTGTAGTTTATGACATTTGTATAATTTATGATGTTTGTATGGTGTGTAACATTTGTATGGCTTATGATATTTGTGTAACTTTAATATTTTAATTGAATGCTATAATTTAGAATTTATTTTGTTATAATCATATTATATTTTTTTGCATATGATTATATTTAGTGTTTTCATATGTGTTTTAAAAAATGGATAGGAGGAATAGACATGCAGATGGAAGAAGTAAAATTATCCAGTGGATAGATTCTATGGATGACGTCCTAGTAGACTCCTCTTACGAGCAACATTTGTGTGGTTGTAGATCGGGTGGGATATTCACATCACACGCCATTGATTGTGTACTTAAAGAACTGATAAATACATTTCCAGATATGGGTATTGATAAAGAGCGGATACACAACCAAATAAAAATTTTGAAAAGGCAATTCTCAAAATGTTATGATGTTTTCAAATATAAAATAAATAGTTTTGCCTGGAATCTAACAACTGAACGATTTGAAGCAGAAAAGTTTGGGTGCAGCTAATAAAGGTAAATCTCTTACTTTATTATATATTGTTTGTAATTTTTTATATTGTTCAAATATTAATATAGTTATTCCTAAGCTCAACCTGAAGTATCGGAACTAAAAAATAAATATGTGCAAAATTACGAGAAAATGTTGGAAATGTATGGAAGAGATAGAGCTAGTGGGTCTACAAGTGAGACACCCCTAAACCCTCAAAGACAAAGGAAGAGGAATGATGATGAACATGATCTGGATTCTACTAGTGAGACACTATTTATCCAAAACTTAAGTGGTAATTTTAATTTTTATGGTCTGGATACTTCATGTGAGGCTCCAATGCCCGAAATTCCTACTTTGGAATTTGAACCTGAGGTATAAGAGTCTTCTATGCGAAAGAAAACAAGACGTTTGACAACAGTCTATGAAGAAGAATATTTAGCTAAAGTTCGAACTATTTTAAATTTAGTGAATGAAATATTAACAATTTTAAAAATGTCTGATTCTACAAAAGAGCTCTATCAAGAGTTTTCTTGTATGAATTTAGATCTCCTTATAGAAACAAAAGCTTTTATGCTACTTATGGATAAACCAAACATAGCTAAAGCTTTAATGACTTACCTTCCTGATCGACATAGTTTTTTCATGACCAATTTGCTTTGTTTACCAGGTAATGATTAAT